GAAGGGGCTGACCTAGTCAGAGAACTTGTGTTTAAGGTAGAGACCACTGAATCAGCAGAGAAGTAGGAGCTACTTGGAGACAGAGGGACAGTAAGAGCAGCCAGGTCAAAGAAACTGATAGATTTGGGGCTTTAAAAGAGCTGAAAGATGACAGTGTGGTGATTTGTGGAGGAATGATTTATGTGCATGCAGAGCAAGGAGCAACGTTTTAGCCTCAGTGTCTAAAAAACAGAATCAAAACCAGGACTTAGTAAAAACTCAGTAGAGGTCTGCTAAAGCTGAGAGAGTAGTTGATGCCTTGACATGAAAGAAGTGACAAGGAAGAAGGGACTGCAAGAGAGAAAACAGGCAGGAAGTTTCACCTTAAATCAGCAAAGGCTTGATGGCCTAGTTGATGAACAATGGCAGATTACTGTAATGTGGTCAGAATTGTAATCACATCTGGAGCCGGGATGCAAAATATTTCCCTGTATTTCTACTCTGAATTACACCCCCTACAATCAAATGATGATGTCCTTTCCGAGCTCCTAAGCAGTGGGCTTACAGTGCTCTGGGCACTTGATTCTAATCACTCACAGTAGTGTGGCAGTGAAATATCACTGAAATTAGTGTGTTACATCCGCTTCTCTTTTACAGAAACAAGGAGAGGATCTGCTCTCCTTTTAAGTAAATGCAAAAAATGGATAATGCATGTAACTGTTGTACAACTCTGACATTTACTTTTCCCCATTTCCTCAGTGCCATCAGAAAATTATTGCCTAGTCCTATACAGTTATGTTGATAATGCTAAACAAAAACCCCCAAAGGTAATTTATTTCTTTTTTTTCTTGACACAGCAGACAGGAACTGGATGTATTAACAAACGTCTAAGGGCAGATTGGATGTCTAGTTGTAAAAAATGCTACTTAAGTTCCAAAGACTGTGCACCAAATGCCACAGGATTTTGTAATAAGAGAAAATGTAATCCCATTTTAAAGTAAAGAATTACAAATCTAGTAATTATATCACAGGATTTTAAATGACAACTGCTGAATATATTGTTGTTGGTCTTTACACATAGCACTTGAAAGCTACATAAAGATGAAATTAATGTTTTTTTTCCTCAGTGTTGAAGGAATCCTGCACTGGTTCTGTTATTCCTTAAAATAAGTTACTATGTCAAGCAACCAACATGCCCTTTTTAACAGAAACAAACTCGAATGAACAACTGCGGTGTGAGTGGTTTGGTGGATGAGGACATGAAGGCTTCAGTTCTAAGAATCCAGATAACTCTAAACAGAAGTCTCAGAATGAACTCCATCCCCCCCTCAAAAAAACCTAATACATATCGTAAAGCCTCCACACAGTTTTTTTGTAAGATTCACAATAATTGGCACTATTGCTTAAAATGGATAAACTTGAGTATTGAATGCAAATATTTTCTCCTTCATGAGTGCACATTGACTTTCAGTTACCTCCGGATGTTGTATTTACCAGGTAATAACTGAGATGCATTAAGTTGGTAGATAATTTTTGTGATCTAAAGAACTCAGATATCCTGAATTGCACATTAATCCACTGCATTTTGAAAGGGATAACTGGAAAAGACCATCTCTGTTATTTTGTTTATTTGTAAATAAAATTAATACATGTGTAAAGAAAGTATAAGCTATTTGTTTAAATCATTAAGTCAAAATAGCTCAAAGACTAACAGTAACTGAACTTCAGAATTCTCTTAATATTAAGCCACTCCATTTTACAGTATAACAGATGTAATCAGATTGTATAAGTTGGATAGGACCATATTGCTTGATTTGCAGTCATACAAGTACTAACGTTTATGTAAAATATTTTTTCCCTTGAAAAACAGTGTAATGTTTGTTAGAAGTATGACACTTGGTGTCTTCTGATACTTCAAGTAACAAATTACAGCCTGAAGACTCATTCCTTCAGAAATGCTAAATATAATTAATCCTAGTAATTAAATGGAAAAAATTTGCTTAATAAAATTATCAGCTTTAGCAAGACCTACAAGAAAATTAATGTAATTTTTCCATCTGAATAGCAGTGGTTTAACTAAAAAGTATTTAACTATGTATTAGAGACCTACTCTTTTGATTTTCTTTAAATATATTGTTCAAAGAAGTCAAACCACATTCTAATGCCTGATTACACAGTTCTACCAAATCCAAAAAGCAACTAAATAGTTAATATTATGCTGAATGTGCACACAATTTGGATTCTAAATTAAAGACCTCTATACGGTTGACAGTTATATTTCACATTTTCATAAATCTACCTAAAAAGTTTTCTTTCTCTAACACTGTGCAGAAATCTGTGAGCACAGCTATGCCCTTTTCTTCTGCTGAAATATAGATATTGAACAGTCATTTAGTAGAAAATTATCAGATTTAATAATACTGTCTGATTCTCAGCTGCTGTTGATTGCTCTGGAAGAACAAGATTAAAAACTTGTAAGTGTGACATCTAGCTGTCTGAAAGTGAAAAAAAAAAATGGGCTCCTTACAAGGAAAATATGTGTAATGTAGTCAGTTTAACTGATCAATTTAAATATTTAAATGTGTCACAGATTTATATCCTGTACCTAAAAATATATCCATACTACACCAAGAGTCAAGCCATTTCTCAAATGGCATACTTCCATGGGCCCTGTTCCTCTCTTGTAACTGTTATGTTAATTATCAAGTAAAGGCATGATAACTTGAAACTCTTGTTCAAAACCTATACCCTGCACTCCATCGATCCTGAAATGGTACTGGCACTGTCGTGGCTTAAGTATTTAGCATTACAGGCAGAATATTGAAAAACCTAACAGCAAAATGATTGAATGACTGAATTCAGGGCTGACAGAAAATATGAAAAAACAAATACGGAAAAACTGTAACCACGCAGCTAATTTGGCCTTTTCTGCCTATTGTTAGATCACTCAATTTAACTTGCTTTAACTTACTGCTTCTTTCAGTTGCCTACTTTTACTTGGCTTCTTCTAGAGGAGCAAAAAGAGGTGGTCACCAAATTTTCAGTATAGCCATAAAATTATATATTTGCATGCAAAATTGCCCATCAGCTTATCCAAACTGGCCCACTATCTTTGCAGAAAAGGGACTTTGTTGGTGCAGAGAGTGCTCTTACTGAAAATCTTGGAGTTACAACAAAATAGACATGATTTTAAGCTTTATATTTCCACTCAATTTTATTGAAAAACTATAGTTCTCATGATCAAAAGTATTCATTCATTGTGAAGCAAGTAATAAATCCTTAACTGCTGGCTTACTCACCTATTCCCACAAGAAAACCTGCAGGAAGAGGTAAAGATATCACAGGAAATTTTTCCTGCCAAGAATATTCTGGCTTTTTGCCACTCAAAGAGGACAGGACATTATTCTGGGGACAGAATTTGAATTCTGCTGGACAGAACATGGGCTTACCAGAGCTAGGTCACAGGAAAGGCTTCATGTCTATACAGGAGATTTGAAGTAAGAAAGGAAAAGAGATGATGGAGAGGAGGAAGAAATAATGTACTTTCCTCTTAGTCTTAACTCACATAAATTTTTGTTCTGCTGTCAGAACCTCATACTCTCCTAACAAGGGAGAACATCTGCCGGGAGATCACGAAGGAAGCGAAACAATATCATCCTATATGTTTACATAAGGATAGACAGAAAAGGGATATGAATTTCTTGGTTGCAATCTTTGCTAATCTATGGTGATGTTGACTGCAACATCTTGTAAAAAGTATAATGATGTTTATTCTATAGTATTTTTTCTCCAACACAAATATTTCATATGCAATTTACAACCCTATTTTCTTCCAACGATAGTCTCAAATACGTGGCTAACCCAGGTGAAGCTTCCAAAATCACCAAAGTCTCGTTTTAGACAACATCCAGATTATATAAAAATATGAAACTAATACCTTTAAAAAGATCTGAAGGAATCTAAGTCTATAGGCCAAGGTATTCAGAAGCATTTATGAATAAATTTCAACTGCTCTTCAAGAGAGGACCTCAACCTTCCAATAGCTTTTAAAATAATACTGTTATATGTTTAATCATTTAGATGCTTTGAAAATAAGATTTATGTAAGTTATCGAAGCAATTTTTTATATAGTACTCTGAATGTTTTGTTATTACAACAAAATCACTCAAAGCTTCATATATTTTGCATGTGATTATAAAGTAAGCTGACTTATCTGCAAATATTATAAGCTGAAAATTTTAAATCCTGAATTTTAATTAATAATTTTCAGTAATTGGAAATACAAATTTTCCTATATGTTTGTTGTGGCTTTTATTTTTTTATTTTTTATTTTTTAATTACAAGATGTCTCCTCTGTTCTGATGGTGTTGGTTTGATACTGCTATTATTATATAAAGGTAGCATTCTGTGTGAGAGAGCTGAAACATTTGTCATAGTAAGTAAACTGCACATGCATTTTGTGAAACCTCCTTCCTTTGTAAATAATAAAAAATGAAACAAGTCAATTAGATGCCATAAAGCAGCGATTCTAGATCTTTCTTCCATGTTTTTTACAGTATATTTTTTTTGGTTCCTCATGGATGGAGTACATTAAAACTGTTGGAGTAAGGGGACAAGGCACATTGTGCTTTCTGGAGAGCACATCACTGGCAGTGACTAGGAGACAACAGGCAGATTCAGCTAGGAGGAAGTGGTCCAGGTGTGTAGAGGACTGATGGGAAAAAGGGACAAAGCACTACAGAATGTGGGACAATAGGGAGGCAGTGATCCCATTGCAGGGTTTTTGCAGAGCGTGTGAGACTCAGGAGGATAAAACTTAAGGCTCACAAAAGACTTGGATTCCCTCCAGTCTCTACTGCACCACCCCCAAGCTCTGCTGCTCCTATTCTTCTCTCCTGCTGCTATGGCACCTCCTGGGTACGCTCTACAACCCTTAAGAAAGAAGATCAGGCCTCTCACTTTGAGTACTTCTGCCTCAGAGCAAAGTGAAAACAGAATCCGCCCAGAACATGAGATCTTACCTCAACAATATCTGAATTCGTTCGACTCTCATGTGGCTCATTGTACTCGGTATATTTCAGCAACACCTTATCCATATCAGTGCTGGCATACTGGAATAATTTGTTGGTGCTGTTGAAGATGATCAGAGCAATCTCACAGTCACACAGAACACTCAGCTCATAAGCCTTCTTCATTAACCCAAATTTCCTCTTCGTAAATGTCACCTGGAGGAAAAAAAAAGAGAAAAAAGTCCATCAAAAAAATCCCCAAGCTGGTCTTTGTAGCCTTTCTTTTTTTGGAAATGTGTGATTGCTGTAGTCTTTGAATTTAAAAAGTATAAGTGCATAAGTATAGATATAGTTCCAAACCAGAATGCATGTGTGTGTTATGAAAGTGATGAAATTACCAAATTCTGGCTGCACAAAACTCAAGATACAGGTAAAGAGCATTTTCATTAAGTAGCACTATGAAGTGTTGCTATTGCATCTTTCTCTATAAATTTTAAATTCATATACTCTTTATATGGTGTGCACCTTTCCCATCAATATTCTAAAACTGCACCTTGGAATTTAAAACTGTACCTCAGATTTACAGCTGGAAATAGTTCATATTTTGGCAGTCAGTTCTTATTATTGAGAATTACTGACTTTGATTCCATGTCCCAAAACTCCTGCTGGATTTTTAATTAAAAAATTATTTCATACAGCATTTAAGCTGTGTAAAAGAGATACATTGCTCAAATAAACATCCTCACAATAATTTTGAAGAAATATCTCGTGTTAAAAGTTCAAACACCCAAGTGACAAATGAGAATTTATAATCTGAATAAAAAGCAAACAAGGCTGACCAGCAACAAATATCACCTTAGAAACAGTCTTTTCCAAACATATATGCAGCATACATTATTTCATTTCAGGTTAGACGCTTAGAAATATGAACTTGCATTTTTTAGTATAAAGGACTTTGGGTCATACCACATAGGAAAAATAGGGATGTGTGTTTAAGTTCTCTGTAGGTCAGCTAATGCCCTGACACCATGCAAAACCTGCACAGTATGAAAAATATTGCTACTCTGTACTAAACTTTAATTTCTCACAGAGACTGTTCTGACAATGAAAAGACCTGTACATTTTGAAATACATTGTTTGTTTGTTTGTTTGTTTCCTTTTCTGCACTAACTTACAAGTTCCTGTAAGACATGTGACTCAAAATAAAAAACTACCATGAAATGTTCAAGCTAATTGTATGGTAGAATTTTTCTACTTTTGTTACTTCATAAATTAAATTTCCATTAAGTGTATACAATGACTATGATTTATTTATTTTTTTTACACCTACATCTTTTATCATATAATTTTCAGTGACAATGATTTTTAAGACAAAAATACTGTTCTGATAGTAGTCAAGGTGTTTGACACGTCAAGGACAGGCATGCAATGCACTTATAGTCCTGCCTAATCCTGCACTTGTTGCTCCATTCTTTAATACCCTTAAGCAGTAGAACCTCTGAACTTTAGTGCTGAGGCAAGAAGATTCTCCTGTACGTGGTTCATATGGCTGCTGTTTTATCTTGTCACACTCCTAATGCAAGTTAATGCTAACTGCAACCCTAGACTACCTTAAAATCCCAGCACATCAAGGCATGGAAAATGTGACATTTAAGTATTGCTAATCCCTATTTGCTAGTCCATCTCAGAAACATGAGGCTCTGTGCCAAAACTATGAACATTTATTCTCCCAAATGCATACTAAATGTTATTCTTTTTATTGTCATTTCAATCTCTATAGCCCCTGTCAACGTACTGTTAAGAAAAGATGAATTGCCACTAAATATTGTTATTCAAGCATTTAAAAAACATTTTCACAGTACTGCTATCTATTAAGCATAATTGATACAAAGTTACTTTTTTTTTTTTTTTTTTGTCTGTCTCAATGGTTTTTGATATTTGGAATGCTTAATGTGACAGGTAACAACACTTCATTCAAATTCTAAAAAGAACCCTCATCTTTCAAATACTCTTTTAATGTTTTCTCTGATTACAGAAAATTGCAATACATTTGTTGAAGTATACATATCTATATATAGAGAGAGATATATAAGCATGTCTTAGAAAAAGCTAAACACACAGAAAACAAAATGTACTAACTCAACATATTTTTCTGCATCTAAAATGTCTTTCAATCAACCTCTTGACCACAGGGCTGTAGGTGGAGTGTCTCTGTACAGTATGGTTTCTGTTGCACAGAAACCTCAGAATTTAGCATGTTGCAGCTTCTTACCATCAAAGCACACTCCAGTACAGAAATATCTTTAAAGCCACTGTTTGCATTTACTCTTAGGTGCTCCTGAACATTTAGAATAACCACACAGCTGTGCTGCACAGCACATACTTATTTCATAATACTTATCACCAGAATGACAGTGGTTAGAGTTCCTTTTTGTGGAAAGTGAAAAAAAAAATCCAGCTAGATTTTTTTTCCTTCTCCTTAAAACATAATCTTAATTGCTCAAAATTTGTTTTGTTTTTAACTCTTTGATCTTTCTAACGTTTTCTAAATCTTTCAGATAATGCTTTCTACAAATGGTGGTAAGTGCATTAAAAACAATTGTATCCATGATTGTTTCTGTGGTGATCTAGAATATTAAATTTTTTTAAAAAATACGCCTTTCATGATGGCTTACCTTTACATGTATGTATTACATATATATGCTACACATATATATATAAATTTATCCTGTGTTTACAACAGTTTGTGGATAATATATATTTCAGAGATATTGTATTTTACAATGACAGTGTGAGAACTGGGGAGAATGGGGGTGGAGTGGAGGGAGGAAGTGGATCAGATAAAAGACCAGCATTCAACTGTCTTTAAAAACTTTTAAGCATGTGTATATAAAGCACAAGGTTTGAATCACTGACAGTTTTTAATCACTGTTATGAGTTACTTTTATGATGAGTTTTTATGTATTGCAAAAAGAGCAATGTGCAGAGTTTACCCCTGAAACATACAAAAAAATAACCTAATTCCATCTCTTTGTATTAACCAAAAACCTCCTAATATATTACTGTCTGTCTTATTCTTGTAGTTATTTTACTTATTTAAAGGTTATTTTTAAAAATTTCAGAGGCAAACTGCCCTCATAATAGGAATGGTGGTACTGAGAGGGTAGATTACTGAAGCATTTTTGTATATGAAATATTACAAATGCTGATGACTGCGCAGGCTGTGAGAAAAGCAAATGCTGCTCTCACCTATGGTAAAAACTGAAATAAACCCCAACGAAACCCTAACAGTGAAGTAGCCAGCTTCCAACTTCCTTGACATAAATCAAGGTGAGATTTTTGTACATTTTGGATTAAATTCTAACCAAAGGTGGAGCCCACTGTATGTGCTCAAGGAAAGACATTGACAAAAGATTGTTAAAAGGACTTTTTTCCACTTCAACTATGTCTCTTCTTTAATACCATGGAAACACCTCAACTTGCTCTTCATGCATAAAGCTGCAAAAATCTTCTGAGAGGTGGTTCATGGACAAGACCTTGCAATGAGTGGGGCTGCAGACAGCCTGAATTCAAGCCTGCATAGTACACACTGTGATATGCTCCATTTAGAGGGTAGTTTGGACAAGCGCACACTTCCTTGTTTAATCGCTAGTAAGTAAAACTTACTTAGACTAAATAAACTAGAAGGTAATGTTGCTTTGTTGTGAGTATAAATTCTTCCATGCCCTGAAATTTAAATTTAAATATGTGTGTGTGTAAATGGTTGTAGTGGCCACTGCTAATAGTCTTTATTTAGCTAATTTTTTTACAACAATTATGTGCTTCTTACAGATGTTAATACATCGGTGGAGGAACAGAAGCAGCTATAAATAATCCCACTAAATGAATAAAGCCTTCAGGCTACATTCTTTATCTTTGTCATGTTTTCTTCTGTATTTTTGGGTGGGAATGGTTTGGACTTATTTTATTTTAGCTTATTTTTAGCTTTAATTCAGGTTCTTCTAGTACTTTTCCTGAAATCTCATCTACTCCACGAGGCCGAGTGGTAACAGCACTCCGTATTTGTCACTAACAGCCACAGCATATGTGCTAACACTCTGTGTTTTAAACGCAGCAGTCCTGTGATTTTTCAAGCAATTCAGTCCAGTCAGAGGCAAAATATAAGCATTCCCCTTGTGTCTTCCTATTTTGATTATAAACGTATATATCTGCTGACACAGGAAAACAAAACAAACAGGGAATTTGCACCTAGTGCCTCCCATTTGCATCTCCTGCTGTTAAACGCGTATGAGTGATTACTGAAAATCAGGGACCACTGATGCACAGAAGCTTCTGATAGAGCCACTGCCAGGTCAAGAATAAATATTATTGTGCTTGTTCTTATTTCATCTCTGATACAGGGACTAGCACAACTGTGTGGTAGATAGGATGCATGTGACAAATACGAGCTGCTCCACAAGCAATCTATCCAACTTCAAACATAATAAATTCAAGTTGTCCATGTGGAAACCGAAGGGCTCTTGACTAAAATGTCACTAACAACAGGCAGCTAATCCTATCATATACTGAAATCCCAAACTACTACTGGAGAGGCAAGAGCTCTTGCCATATTCTCTCTTCCCCTTCCTCCTATTTGATTTTTATTTAGATCTGTTTGTCATATGAAGACGCCTGGCTGCCTGGTTATCTTTACATTAACCCTCAGTGGGACTGGGAAGTAGCACCAGTGCAGGATTCACTCCAAACAAACCTTCCTTTATGCAGTAGCCGGGCATGCCATATTAAATGAAAGACCCTTTAAAGAGCAGCCTGCTTCCATGTTCTTATAACCCTCCAGCATAATTTACAGGGAGGAGACAGCAGTGATTTGTGCTGGTAAAAGAGCTATTGTCCCAGAAAGCCTCAAGCATATTGAGCTAGAACTTGCTGAATAGTCCAGATAAAGAGCAGTTCTAAGCAGGATGCCCTAAAATGATAGCTATGAAAAATAAAATGTTCATGATAAATCTTATAAAAAAGGAGGTTTTGTACTTGTGTGTTACACCCTCTTTTTAGTATATTAGTACATAAATAACAGATCAAATACTTGAAATAGTGATGTAATTCAGTCTGCCCAAATCCAACACATGAAGGTGGGTCTCATACAATTTTCTTCTTTGTAAGTAAAAAGAAGAGAAATGGAAGATGTGTTAGTTAACAGATGAGATAGGAGCTCA